AACAGAGGATGAGATGGGTTGGATGGCATCACCAACTCAATGGACATTAGTTTGAGCAAGCTCCAGGAGTTGGTGATGGATAGGGAACTGGCATGCTGCAGTCCATAGGGTCGCAGAGTCACGACTGAGTGACTGAACTGAACTGAGTCTATTTTACTTAAATACTTTAAAAATCCACATATATAATGCTTAAAAAGATATGTGAGTTTCCTCCAACTTTGAGATTTCCACAATGAGAAACCTTCAAAAGCTGTAAGTATCCTTTCATTTATTCAAATATTTACCAAGGGTCTGCTCTGAGCCTGGCACTATTCCAGCTGCTGAGGACAGAGCAATGAATGAGACAAAACCCATGCCTTTACAAAGCTTCCATTCTGTGGGGAATCTCTTGGTATCCAGGATCTATTATGTGTTTGGGTGTCATATTCACAAATACAAGCGCATATACAATTGGAAGCATCCTACAAACTACTGCTGCACATCATCACTTGCAGTTCCCTCAAACAATCTGAACTGATTCTTCCTTTAAATTTTAAATGAAAATTTTAATTGAGCTTGAGCCATAAGGTGAACAACTCTGTCTCCCCAATAATGTCATTTATATCACGCATGGACTTCCATGGACTTCTGGACTTCTCTGGTGGTACAGTGGATTAGAATCTGCCTGGTTTGGGAAGATTCCACATGTCACAGAGCAACCAAGCCCATATGCCACAATTACTGAGCGTGTGCTCTGGAGCCTGTGAGCTGCAACTACTGAAGCCCACGCACCTCGAGCTTGTGCCCTGCAACAAGAGAAGCCACTGCAATGAGAAGCCCATGCAGTACCGTTCGCAGTACCCAGAGAAAGCCCATGCACAGAAAGACCCAGCACAGCCAAAAGAAAAAAGATTTTATTCTCTTATATTTCCATTCTCCAAAATTTCTTACTGTTGGTGGAGGGAACATGCTTTATGTTATTTTAATTTTAAAGAGATACAATTGAAAACATGGAATTTGGAGATATCCCCAAGAGACTTCTATAAGATTAATAAACTAAAATGCTAAATAACTTTCATTTATTCATTCATTTAATAAATAACTGTTCATCCCAGGGGCTCAGACTCTATGTGGAGTTGGAAGGTGGAGACAATAAACACATGCAAATAAAGATGATTACGTGTAGGTCATGATCAGTACTAGAAGAAAAAAAACGCAGACCTCTGATAAAGACCTCAAGAAAAAAACAATCCAGATTATCTATTAAAATACTTATACTGACATTAAATTCTTCCTTACTTGCCCTTAAAACTTCCTGACATTGATTTAGAAGATTCCAATGTATCAAAGTTCATCAAACTTATCTCAATTTCACTTTCACAGAACTAAAACTAGTCTGTGAAATCTCTAGCAGAAATAAAAGATAACACCTATTTGGCAGTACCTCTGGCACTGGGCTTTTGATTACATACAGTGGTACCATACAATTTATTATCCAAACTGCAAGAATTTCAAGAGAGAAAAAGGATGTTTTAACAATTTAGCCAAAATAACAGGCACAAACAAGGACTTTCCACCAGGGCAAAACAGGCCATATGGTCATAATTATATACTACATCAAAGAGAGCTAGCCCAAAATATCAAGAGTATTTTATAGTTTCAGATGGATTTAAATTATAAGTAATATCCAAGTAAAGAACCTAAATTATAATTTGGACCATATAAGTCAAGTGACTTCCTTACTAAATTTAGATTTAAATACCTCACAACATACACAAAATCAATTACAGGGGCATTATAGGCCTAAATGTGAAAAGGCAAAATAGAAAAGTTTTGAAAAGAAGTCAGTCCATGATCCTGGGGTAGGGAAAAGCGCCTTAAAAAAAAAAAGACAAGAAACACTAGTCACAATGGAAGAGTGGTAACATATTTACGATAAAAGGAATAACTTCTATTCACCAAAAGAAACCATTAAATGGGAAAAGATACTTCCAACAGATACATCCAGTAAATGATTCATATTCTGAATACTGATCTCAAGAAAAACAACAACATGCATCTCAACAGGAAAACGGGCAAAAGATTTCAAAGGCACTTCATGAAAGATGAAATCCAAATGACCAAGATATGAAAAGGTGTTTACCTCACTAGTAATCAGGAAGATTAAAACCAGGTACAAATACATACCCACCAGATTGGATAGAACTAAAATACCTGATACTAACTAAAATACCTGATTGGATAGAACTAAAATACCTGATAAAAGTGGTAGTTACAAGTATTACTGTTGGTGAGAGATGTGGAACTATAATTCATATACTTTACTAATAACAAATAAAAATTAGTAAACAATTTGGAAAAGTTTTTCATCATCTAATAGACATACTCCCCACCATCCTGCAATTCAAAGTACATACCATAAAGAAAATTACATAAAACATGTATCAGTAAACTCAAACACAAAGGCATTGTTCATAATTGCTAAAAACTGTAAACAATTTGAATAGCTTCAGAATATCCAAAGCAACAGGAGAAACAGATAAACAAGTTATATGCATGATGGAATACTATGTCACAATAAAAGCCAAAATAAATATATGCAACATGATTCCATTTATATAAAGTTTAAACAGGGACAAACTCTTATCATTCAGAGATGTAACTTAAGTGATAAAACGATCAATGTCAGAATAACATTTCTATCTAGCTTAAGAAGGCAGCAGTTGTTGATGAGAAGATGCAGGGGTGGGAGGCTTGTGGGATGTTGGCAAAGCCTGTCTTTCCCTGGGTGGCAGTTACAAGGACTTTTGTTTAAAAATATTTCATTTTTATCCATGTGTCTTTACAACATGTGTGGTTATATTTCACACTGGGGGTGAGGGGGGGAACCTCTCTCTAAAGGGGAAAAGGATTAACATCCTAAATAGAATTCTAAGAATGTTAAAGAAATAACTCAATTCGTAGTTTAAAAAGAGTTAGCAAGTATCTCTAAATGCAAATACATACTGTATTCTAAACACACTGCATTCTAAAATCCATGAATAAACTTTTGGTTTCATCCGTTAAGACTGTCACTCTTCATCCAAATTTTGAAAAAGGTGGAATTTCGGATATCAAATTACTTAACAAATCACGTAAATTCTAAAATCTTAACACCAAACTTCCTACTTCTAATTCTGAAATCTGAAATAAGTACCTGGTTGTTTATTGGACAGTTACAAAGCAGTTTTAGATTAGAAACTGCTAAGCAGAATAATATCCACATTTGGTAACTCCAACTTTTGCGAACACAATTCCCAAACCTCTGTTATACATTCAACAACTCAAATTTCTTTAGAAAAAAAAAGAATATATTACGTACGTGGGATTACACATCAAAGCCATAATAAGAACAGACATAAATTAAATCAATGATTAAAAAAAACTTTTCATTGCTATATAGATTTTTTAGGTTCTTGCATAAAAGAAAGTATTTATAGTTTTTTTTTTTTTTAAAGACAAATGAATATATTAGAAATCTTAAACATGCATAGGTTCTTTTCTTTGTAAGGGTTAGAGTAAGGTACCACAGCCAACTCACTGATAAGTCACTAACCTGGCAAGAAATCTTAAAAGCCAGATTGGGCCAAACAATGCTTTAAAAACAAACAAACAAAAAAACTACTAAACCACTTTAATGAGAAATACTGTTTTCAGCTTGTATATGGCTCTCATCAAAAACTTCAGAGGGCCCTTTTCACAATTCCACAAAACCATAAAAATTAAAACCATACAGCTAAATACGCACGCGGGGAGAGGGGGGACAGGTGGGAGAGGAGAGGAAAAAATATTTAGAGAAAATAATTTTAAGACTCCCTACCTAGATAGAAAATTTGTCCCAACAAGAGTGTTTTAAAAAGGATGTACCAGGGAATCCAAAAAGTATCTTTAAATATTTGCGTGATACCGCGAAATGACTCTCCTATCGGTCAAAGACTAATCTTTTTCTTAAAAACAGATTTAGAAAATTTTCTTCCTATCGCCGGACTTTCCTCCTTACCATGCTATTCTTTCTATAACTCTCCCAGATGTGCTGCGAAAATGACCTTAGTTATCTTGCTTCCCTCTCCTACATGTTCCCCAAACTTGTGAGGTTTCTTTTAAGATCAGGAGCTAAAGTTTATTTTCTTCCTGGTTTCCTGGCGGAACAAAAACCCAGACTTGTGAACGGAAACAAAACCCCCAAGACTGGGCGATGGTACGTACTTTGGGGTGGACACCTTCTTCTCCGACTCCAGAGAGCCTCCACGGGGCTCGGTCAGCTCCAACTGACCACTTAGATCTACCCTGGGAACAAGGGACCCGGAAAAAGCTGGCACCCTTCTTCCCACCGGATTTCCAAAAACAAGGCCGAAAGGAGAGCAGCGAACATTTGAAAAGACATGGTTGCACAACAGGTTTGGAGGATTCCGGTTTAACAGGTAAATACCACACAGGAAACAAGTGGGATGTGATCTGCTCCAGGTACCAATGGCATTTCGAGGCCGTCAGCGTCGCAGGGGAAACCCAAAGTTTGGGCACATTACTTAAAGTTCACCTGAGGAATATGGAACGAATTGAAATTAAAAACGCGAGAAAATGGGTGCTGGAAAATCAGCAAATCAGAGCTTTAAACTCAGGCTGGGCGGAAAAATTCTTTGAATACTCAGGCTTTGTTTGGTGGTTAAGAAGACAGAACCACCGAATTTCGGAGTTGGAAGACGCGTATCTCCGTGTTCTTCGGCCCGTTCTCGGACTTCAGGGCTGCCCCGCCCGCCCCGGCCGCGGTCCTTAGTCCCCGGATCGAAGGCGGAAGCCTGGGAGCCCCGGGGAGGCCGCGGCCCGCTCCGGCCCGCGACGCCGGGGCCCGGACCGAGGGAAGGGAGCGGCCCCCTAAGGAGAACGGTGGAGCGGGGAGGGAGCGAGAAGGTCGCGAGCCGAGAGCTCGGCGCAGCCCTGAGCGCTCGGCCCGCCTTCCCACCCCGAGGCCCGCCCCGACATACCTTTGGCGAGAGCTACGGTAGAGTTCTCGGTGTCGATAGTGTAGAGGATGCCCTCGTAGCGGATCTCCGCCTTGGAGATAAGGCTGATCTTGCTGCCGATGTAAGGGGTGCCCCCGCTCATGGCGCCGCCGCCGCCGCCGCTCCCGGCCGCTCGCAGAGAGGCAGATCCCACGCCGCTGTGGCCGCTCCGCTCGCCCACTTGCTCTGTCGGCGCCTACAGCAGCCGCCTCAGACCCAACATGGCGGCGGCGCCGGCTCCGCTACCCTCCCCCAGCCTCCCGCCCTCAAGCCGCGGCAGACCCAAGGGCTCCAGGGCACCGGGGCGCGGCGGCGGCGGCGGCAGCGGCGGCGGCGCGGGGCATGCTGGACGGGGAGTCCGAGCTCTCGCGAGACTCGTCTGGCTGCCAGTGGCTCAGGGCTCCTTCGCGGCCTCGGAAGTCCTAGCAGTGTGGCTGGCCTGGTGTGTCGCTGTCGTTCCCCGAAGCCTGAGAGGAGATCCAGGGAGAGGCCAGGAGCCTCGGAATGTAAGGATACTGTGGGCTGGCTTGGCGCCGCGCGCGGTCCTCTTGATCTCCGCTGTGGCCTACGCCATTTCCAGACCCTTTGAAACCCGTCCTGAGTCCGGTGTCGTTGCAAAAGCGGATCCCTCTAGCTGGAAAGTTCTAACGTGCCTCGAAGCTCTTGGTGAGCACCTCTGAGACCTGGTCATCTTTCTTTGGAAGCAACTGCGCCCCTCATGGAGCCGTCATTACAGCATCTGTCACCCAGCGAATCTCCCCTCTACTCCCCTTCGCTGCTCAGACGTGGGATTCTGTCCAAAGCTTTCAAATGGTTCTCATTGCTTTCAGTACCATTTCTCACAGACCGAATCCTACTGTCTGCAGTTTTGTTCAGTTCTGTGAACTCTGGATTCATTTAAGCCATAGCACTGTTAACTTAAAAAAAAAAAAAAGCTCAACCTAAGCGTGAGAATTGTGCTTTCTTCCGGGGGAGTGGGGGGGTGGTTTGCTGAGGACTTAAGTCTGGAGATAGCCTCTTAGCTCTGAGGGACTGCTGGGAAGAAGTAAGGGAGGAGCCAGGATATATAGGAGTTCTTGAAAAACAGCATAACAACAAACCCAGGTAGTTTAACATCAAAAGATAACTCGTAAAGAAAAACCAGACATTTCAAGTTAATGAATTCAACACTTTTCTGTGTATGGGAAGAAGTTAGAGTCTGGGCTCATTGAAATCATTTCTTTAACTTTAGTAAACCTTTTCTCCATTCTGAATTCCCTCAGGGTGCACAGTTGGGGGTGACTACAGTGGCTGATGGCTAAATAGCTGCCAAATCCTTTCTTTACTTATATGTCAGGGGATATCCACAGCATCTTTAGTTGAATGTTTAATTGGCAAGTTTGTGTGTCTGAAGATTTCCTCTCTAAACCTAATCTTGCCACGCAACTGTTCATCCTTGTAATAGTGGGACTTCTCACTCAGACCTGTATCTGTTCTGACTGCAAAATTCTATCCTTTTCAAGTGTAGACTGTATCCTGAATCTGATCATTTCTCACCATCTCCACCTCTGCCCTACAACAAACCATCCAGAATTATTGAAACAGCCTCCTAGAAGGCCCTTCTACCTCTGCTTTTGTCCCCATAATTCTCAACACAGCAGCCAGAGGGATCTTAAGATTGAAGTTAGATTGTATCCCTCCTCTACTCAATACTCCTCTCCCCAGTGAGCTCATGTCACACAGAATGAAAGCTAGCTAGATTCCTTACTTTGCCCTATAGAGACGTACATGATTTAGTTCCTTGTTTCCTTGCTTCACCATTCTGTTCTAGCCATCCCCTTTTCACCTCAAACTTGCCCACTTCATTCAGATCTCTACTCAAATGTTGCTTCTGCAGATGAGTCTTTATTGTCCTGTTTGTTTATCATGATACCACCTGAATCACTCTACATGCCCTTGCTCTGCTTTCTTTTGCTTCATAGCTTTTATCTTCCTCTAATTGTTTAGTTGTTCAGTTGTGTCTGATATTTTGTGTCCCTGTGGACTATAGCTCACCAGGCTCCTCTGTCCATGAAATTTCCCAGGCAAGAATACTGGAGTCAGTTGCCATTTTATTCTTCAGGGGAACCATGTCTCCTGCATTGCAGGTGGATTCTCTACCGCTGAGCCACCAGGGAAGTCCCATCTCCCTCTAGTATGTTTAGTTGGGCCTCTCCGTCCCCTTTACTAGAATCTATAAACATTTTGAGATAGGGATGTTATTCCGCTGTTGCTAAGTTGCTTCAGTCGTGTCCGACTGTGCGACACTATAGATGGAAGCCCACCAGGCTCCCCTGTCCCTGGGATTCTCCAGGCAAGAACACTGGAGTGGGTTGCCATTTCCTTCTCCAATGCAGGAAAGTGAAATGTCAAAGTGAAGTCTCTCAGTCATGTCTGACTCTTCACGACCCTATGGACTGCAGCCTACCAAGCTCCTTCGCCCATGGGATTTTCCGGGCAAGAGTACTGGAGTGGGTTGCCATTGTATTCTCCCGATGTTACTCTGGTCACTACTATATGATCAGAACCTAGAACAGAGCAGCTTTTCAGTAAGTTGGATGAAGGCAGAGCATAGGTAGGATGTCTGGTGAGCTGAGTGAACAAATGGTGAGAAGCCTGGCAGGAAACAGAGAGGGAAGCAGTACAGAAGACTAATGGCTGTGTTGGCTCTGGTTCACAAGAGTTTCAAAGGAATACTATGAAATACCTGCTTCAGTACAAGTTTCATGTTAAGGAGCTGAACTCTTACTTCTGTCATTTCCTCCTGCTTCCAGGCCTGGGACCTAGCTTATCTTCCATGCTTCCTGAGTGAGGGCATCCTTTTTCATATATTAACTAATTCCCAAATTTACATCTTCATTCTAGATCTCTTGACTTCCAGGGTCACACTAGTACATACTTACTAGATACAGTTAGTTGGGTGTCCCTCAGGCGCTTCCAACTCAACATGTTCAAAAATATATGTATCCACTCCATTCCCCCAAATAAACCTGCCCTTTATCCACGCTCTCTGTCCTTATCACTGGCCCCAGAACTCACTCAGGTGTTCAGTCTTGAAATCAGAATCCTTATCTGGCTGCACCTAGTCAATCACCAATCTTGCTGATTCTATTTTATGTTTTCAGTTCATGGCTTCCTGCATCCTAGGGTACCAGGAACTGTGCATAAGTGCAGCTGATCAGTGTGATAGCCCATAGTGTATCATGCATGTGAATCTCTAACTTAGGTACTAGAAAAAGACTGAGAAAGTGCACCTTTCACTACCTTTGTTTCTGAAAACCCAAGTCCCATGTTGCTCCTCTGCTTAAGAGCCATCAGTTATGTCTGCTGGCCTACAGGAAAAAAAAAAAGCTACCTCTCCATTGAATGTTTTCAACAATAGAAAGTCTAGAATTTCTACATTGGAGAGGCAGTCAGGTTGGAAGAGGGGATGAAAAGGATGGGAGGCTTGTCCAAAGTTATGTTTCTAGCTGGCACACTTTTTTTTTTTTTAACTTATATTTGTGTTTCCTTGGGGATTGGGTAATGGAGAATATGGGAGAAAGAAGGTTCCTGCACCTCACTGTCTTTTAGTATGCCCCTGGTTATTCATTGCAACTCCCAACATATTCTCTGTGTGCCTTAGGCTCTGGCCATGCTGAATTCATTGCTTCTCAGAACACACGTGTCACTCTCCCACCTCTAACCATTCCTGTTTGATATGAAAGGCTCTTTATGCCATCTCCATTTGACAAACAAGATTCAGAATCACTTTCACAGTATAGATAAAAATGAGAATAAATCAAAGACCTAAATGTAAGAGTTAAAATTATAAAATTCTTAGAACAGGGGTCCCCAAACTCTGGGTTGTGGACTGTTACATCTTGTCAGATCAGTGGCAGTATTAGATTGGAAATAACACAATAAATGTAATGCACTTGAATCATCCCCAAACCATCTCTTCCACCCACCCTGGTCTATGAAAAATTGTCTTCCAGGAACTGATCCATGGTGCCAAAAAGGTTGAAGACAACTGTCATAGAAGAAAACATTGGGGTAAATCTTGACCTGGATTAGGTAGCGATTTCTTAGCTATGCCACAGAAAGCTCAAACAATCAAAGAAAAATAGGTAAATTAGATTTCATAAAAATTAACTTTTGTGCTTCAAAGGACATTATCAAGAAAGTGAAGAGACAGCTCACAGAATGGGAGAGACTATTTGCAAATCATAGATCTGATAAGAGATTCAGGATATATAAAGAATATGTAAACAAGTCTTATAACAGAAGTTATAACACATTAAATTGAAAAACGAATTTCCAGATTAAAATTTGTAAACCATAATGGAACACAATATTAAAAAAGAATGTATATATATGTATGTATCACTTTGCTATACAGCTGAAATTAGCACAACATTGTAAATCGACTATACTTCAATAAAAAGTAAATTTAAAAAAATGTGTAAAGGATTTGTATAGACATTTCTCCAAAGAAGATATACAAATGGCCAAAAAAAGCACAGAAAAAGATGCTTAACATCATTGATCTTTAGGGAAATGCAAATCAAAGCCACAGTGAGATGCCAATTCATACCTACTGGGATGGCTAGTAATTATAAAGATGGACAAGAACAAGTGTTAGTAAGGTTGTGGAAAAATTGTTAAGTAGTGCATCCTATTCGGGAAAGTTTGACAGTTCCTCAAAAAGTTGAACATTAAGTTACCATATGATGCCACTGTTCCATTCCTGGGTATATAACCATGATAACTGAAAATACGTATCCCACAAAAAACTTTTACATAGATGTTTATAGCAGTGTTATTTATAATAGAATGGGAACAACCTAAATATCTATTAACTAATAAATGCATAACAAAATATATGTACCCATTCAATAGGATATTATAGCCATAAAATGAATGAAGTACTGGTACATGCCACAACATGGGTGAACCTTAAAAATGTTATGCTAAATGAAAGAAATTAGACACAAAAGCCACATACCATATGATTCCATTGATATGAAATGTTCAGAGTAGGAAAACCCATAGAGACATAAAATAGATTAATGGATTAGTGGTTGCCAGGGGCTGGGGGTTATGGCTGGGGTCTAGGAATGGGG